CACCTCACAAACCACATCTCGCTTTGACGTTTATCACGAATAAGCAACGACAAACCGATTTTATATGAACAACATCGTCCAAAGCCCACAGATCTGGAAGATCCATGTTCATGTTTCTAATAGATTTTCATTTCTAGATTTGTTTTGATAATTTTTTAATAAAAGATTAATCTCATTTTTTTATAAATCGATCGTCAAATACACATTTTTTGACAAATAAGCATCCTAAAACCGACTTTATGTGAAGCACATCATCGAAACTCTACAGATCTGGACTCCATACGTTTATAGTTAAAAATCTTTTTCATTTCTAGTTTATGTTGATAATTTTCAATGGATAATTTTTTAACAAATAAGCATCCTAAAATTATGTTTATCATTTTTCATCCTCCAAAAAATGTGGATGATGTTTGTTTGCATTTTTAACAAAACACACTTAAAACATTTTTAAAATTTTTTTAAAGACGCTTTAAACACAACACTTCCACCAATTTTAAAAATTGTACATTTGTACACACACGTGCGAACAAACATGTCATGTGCCATTAATAGTAACCCAATCTCATTAAATACAACTACATCACCTACCTTTAAATATTTCAAACTGTTGGTAGACCGATGAACTCATTCATGAGGTTGAACAACCCGAAACCCGAATTGCCATAAACGAATTCCAAACGGTTATTGCCTACCCATTATTGTCCCCAACAACCAATCTCCACTCCAGCCCTTCTCGACCCAGTATATCAAAAGACAACATAGATGTAACACACACCAAACACATAGACTTCTATGAATTTGATAATTTTAAGACAACCTTTTTTTTATTTAAATAGCACAACTCTAATAAATACAACACTTTATTTAAAAAATATCTCTTCCATCAATGTCTTTTGAATTATTTCTTTTTGTCCAACCTACAATTATAAAATTACGATATGTTTTTTTCAACCAGTTTTTGGTGAAATCAATTGTTACAAAATAATACTACCAACTTGAGCAATAATATAAATTTATTGATATGGGAATAAATGAATGTGAAAACCTTCTTACATCCACATTACTTTTATAGCTGAAAGTCCATTGCAATCTTTTAGGAATTTGGAAACAATCAATAAGCTTCATTATGCCCACCACCCATTTCAACCAATAAGGTTTTAAGTATTTGACTATTCTCACCACCCATTTCAACCAATAAGGTTTAAGTATTTGACTATTCTCACCACCCATTTCAACCAATAGAAAATTAGTATTTTAATCAAAATAAAGTATCCAATAAAAATTAAAATAAAAGTTGATGTTGACATTTATTGGAGGGAACACTATTCCTCAAACTTCTTTTGCTTTTATATTAGAATAGATGTTTAGTCTCCAAATGAGGAGCTAAACTCTTCCATCTTGGTTTTGCTACATTGAAGTTTATGATTTGTCAGTTGTGAGTTATTTTCTTTGATCATCATCCTTGAATAAAAATTACATTCCTATTTTATATCTCATATTAATTTTTGAACATTACTTAAAGGATCAACTAGTTTTGTATGATATATGAATTATTACTAGAATGGAAAAAGAGTCAAATAAGGTCTTCTACAATTACAGAATCATCACATAAAGTCAATTACTCAATAAAGCGTCATACAAATACATTTACTTACAAAAAGCAATCGGATGAGTCCTAACAATCCAACGAGAACCTCATACATCTGCTTATTTTATATTTGTATTTTCTATTTTCTATTTTTCTATTTCTTTGTCTCCCATGAAACTTCCTCTTGTCTTCAATGCTCCTTCCTTATGCTCTCAAGCCCCTTCCTCTTCTTTTCATCATGTTTCTTGCTTACATGTCAAAATATCTTAATATCTTCTAATTCTAGTTTAATTTAAGAAGATAAAGATTACATCACAATTGTAAAAAATCTAAGAAAACACAATGTTAAACCATTCTAAAACGTGGTGTTTATGCACTACCAAGGATGTTTTTACTTGGACTGTAATTCATCCCAGACCAGACCAGACCAGATCAGACCAGACCAGACCAGTTCAGACCAGACCAGACTTGGATAGTTATAAAAATACAAAGAAACCAGACCAGACCAGTTCAGACCAGACAAGACCAGACCAGACCAGATCAGACCAGACCAGACCAGACCAACAAATTACAGTCCAAGTAAAAACATCCTAAATAGTACATATCAAATACTCCCATGCTTAATCTTTTACTCATCCTTGAGTAAAATGCAATTCAAGTTCAATTCTTCGATGTACTGGGGGTGTCATGAGACGCATGCATGAACTGTTGATCCTAGTTATACTGGAAACAGTCTAGAGGAGGAGGGGAGAATAGACTGTTTTGGTTTTTAAGTTTCTTGTGAGTCAAAGTAGGGTTGGTTTCGGTTCGGGTTCCGAACCGATTCGGTACATACCCGAACCAAACCGATATTTCGATTTACCAAATTATCAAAACCGGAACTGAACCGTTGTACGAACGGGTACCGATTTTTGGTACCCGATTTTTTCGGTTCGGTTTACCGAAAACTGAAAGAAACCGACTAAATTGTTATAAATAAATTTGAACTGATATTCAATTGATTAAAGCCCATTGGAATTTGCCAATATTGGAGCCCAATTAGTCCCATGGAAGCCCAGAACGTAACTTAGCTTCCAAGGACATATCTTAACATTCTACACTAAGAGCAACCGCAATGCGGTGCTGTTTAGTCCCGATTTAGTGCGCCAAATGTCAAATAATGAAAAGGGTTTCTAACCTACGTAATTAATGTGGCGTGAATTGACTATGAGGAATGAAAAAAACTGTACAATGCATTAGTCCTGCGGCCCATTAGAACTGCCATGTGGAATTAATAATTTATACTACCTCCGTTCTTAAATGAGTGCAACATATGAAATTTTACACTATTCACATGTTCTACTTTGACTACATTTTATTTATTGATGTATTAATATATTTTTTTGAAAAATATATTCTTAAATTTGTCTCATTGTAAATTTTTAAAAACTATTTTTTTAAATTTTTTACTGATAGAAAATTATATATATTAATGGTCAAAGTTGTGTCTCGGCAAGTGTGAAATGTTGACTATTGCACTTGTTTGAATGTTGGAAGACTGATTTACCTCACCAACACAAGGCCTGATATCACCCTTATTGTCCAACAACTTGCACAGTTTATGGACAAGCCCACATTCAAACATCATGAGTAGGGGTGGGCATTTCGGTTTTCGGTTCGGTTTTCTTCGGTTTCGGTTCAGTTTCGGTTTAATCGGTTTGATAGAAAATGTACCAAATACAAACCGATTAAGTTTCGGTTTGGTTTCGGTTTGGTATGGTTCGGTTCGGTTTGGAGTTCGGTTTACCAAAGTATTAAGGTTTGGATTGAAAAAAAATAACTCAAAATAATGAACCAAGAAGCGATAGTAATGAACCAAATATAATGTTAGATATAAATTTGCAAACAGTAACAAAACATATATGAACCAAAAATATATAAGCATGACACATTTGTAAGCATCAACAACAACGGGAATGAATCAAATTATATATAAAGCCGGAAAAAAAAACTGGTGCTTGTAAGTAATCAACCAAATATATAGTAGTAGTAGTAGATAATAAATTATAGTTGAATACTATCTACTTAAACCACTATAATTGTTATAGTTGTGAATGTAACTCTTGTAGTAAACTCTAGTCCTGGACACTAAAACTAAAGAATTAAAGCTTCAAAAAGATTAACATCAATCAAATTAATGATAGAAATCTTATATTTTGGTTTGGTTTAGTTTGGTGTAAGTTGGTTTTGATTTGTTATTTTAAAAAAATAAGAAATTATTTCATTTTTAGATTAGTTCGGTTTTATTCGGTTTTATTCGGTTTTATGATTTCGGTTCGGTTTGGTTCGGTTTAATACGGGTTGGGAGGAATACTACCAAACTCAAACCAAATTACAAATGGTTCGGTTTCGGTTCGGTTTTATTTGGTTTGGTACGGTTCGATTCGGTCAAACCGAACCGTTATGCCCACCCCTAATCATGAGGTTTCTATCAAAGTCCTTATATACTTAAAAGGTTCACCTAGTTTGGGCTTATTTCTCCCTTCAAACTCTTCTACTCAGCTGAAGAGATACAGTGATAGTGATTGGGCATCTTGTCCAGATACTAGAAGATCTATCACTGGTTTCTGCATCCACTTGACCACTTGGGAAGTTCACTGATCTCTTGGAAGACTAAGAAGCAGAAACCAGTCTCACGCAGCTCATGTGAAGCAGAGTACATGGCAATGGACAAAACAACATGTGAAATCCAATGGCTAACAAACACGCTACAAGATCTTAATGCATCTTACAAATCCCCTGCACTCTTGTACTGTGGTAATCAATCAGCTTTACACATAGATTCGAATCGTGTCTTCCATGAGAGGAAAAAGCACATTGAGATAGGCTGTCACACTGTTTGTGAACAAGTTTGCAGAGGTTTGATCAAGTTGCTTCCTATCTCATCTAACTTGCAACTTGCAGATGCACTTACTGAGCCCTTAAGCCCTTCATATTACAAAGAAATTCATCTCAAACTGGGTCTCATCAATCTATGTGCTCCAGCTTGCGGCGGGGGGGGGGGGGGGGGGGGGGGGCTATTGACGCTAAAGGTATAGGGCTCAACAACACTGAAGGAAGAAAATAGCTCAACCGGAAACAAGGCAGTTAGATTAGTTTGTTGAAACTGATATTTAACTAGTTTATGGTTTAGTCAACAATTAGTTAGTTAGTTGGGTTAATACTTCTAGATTATTCTTTTCCTCTTCTATAGCATTGTGATTGTATATATATGTTGATACGATCACCAATAATAGATAGAACAAACTTTTTCCTCTTCCTTTTCTCAAAAGGCATATTCAAAGTTTCTTATGATCTTCGTTCTCTGCAACTCATTCTGTGATCTTTACGTATAATCTAGGACCGTACTTTGCTTATTTCAGTTTTGTCTTTTTTTTAAAGAAAAGAGAATTTTATTGAATAAAAAGTAAACAGTACAAAGAAAGATAACAGAGAAAGAAAAATAAAGCAAATTCAACAATACAAAGAAAGAAAAGACTAAAACTACACCCAAGGAAATTCTCTTGACTGAGACCTAGTAGTCATGTTGTGCCGCCTTTTATTCTTTTGAGCTTTCGTGTAGATTTTTAGTTACGTGTTTAAATTTTCTGTTGGCAGGCAATTTTCTGAGGTAACAAACTTTGATTTCCTGCAGATTGCTCTGTTGAATTTTGATTTCCTAATTTCTCCTGGAGTTGAGATAGGGGGACGACGATCACTTTCGGTGGCATGTCCCAGAAAGTCATCCATGAACGAAGAATCATCTGATTGATAAAAGTTGTCTGAAGCATCTGAATAAGCCTGAACAAGCATGAGCCGTTCTATTGGAGCTGGAGACTTTTGTATCTCTGAGTACGCTCCCTGAATTTGGAAATAAAAAATTAGTTTCGAGATAGATGTTTGCTCCTCTGTAACTAATTCGGTTTGTTGTAGGCAATCCATTGCTATCTCCTACACCAAAGTAGTCAGTCCAACAAAATTTGAGAATATTGCCATAAATTTTTTTATATAAGAGTTCTTTGGGCCCACGGGAATTAGAATGAAGCTCCCCTTTTCCTTAGCAATTTTCAGATATCGGCCTGAATTGTTGAAATTTGATGAGACTGTGATAGAGCCAAATCTTCTTCTTTCCCTAAAATTATCTGATATGGTGATCTGAGTTATAAATCTGTAGATGTCGGGCGCTTGCTCTTTTTTGAAATTAATCATGTGCATTGAGGATTTTTTAATTTCAAATATGACTATTTCATTCTGTCTGTCCTCAAATCTAAAGGATTTTGATTCAATTTTGACAAAATCAAAGCCCTCCTCTCCAACGAAGTGAAAAGATTCCGTTTCTCTGGCCGAAACATCCGTGGGTGCCTGAATTAATTCAAAGGATAATTTATCACCCACATTGAAGGTTTGAGCATCCTTATTAGCCTGATTTATTTCTGTCATGAGCAATAGCGTAGAGTAACTAGGAGTATTTACTCCGGACTTGCTTGGTCTTTCATTGAGGGAAATTACAGCATGCCTTGAGGGAAGAGTGTTGGAAGTTAGATTAACCCTGGCGACAATTTCAGACCCGTCCATGTCATTGTCTGCGCTTCTCTTGTCTGCGGTGATATTATCATCTTTCAGGATTGCAGATGTAGATGCTTGGGCTCCACTCTCGTTCCCTTCCCACCGCACAATTTCTGCCCAAGTTAGTCTTCTAACAGCACCAGTCGAAGTACTCTGCATGCTTAACAGGTTGTCTGGCCGTATTGACAGGCCCTGCGAAGCTACTAATTGATTAGCGTCTCTTTCCGGCGAATCATCTACTCCGTCGTGAGCTGGTGTGCAACCTTGACCCTGCGCAGAAACTTTCCTAGCAAAAACCGGCACTATCAAATCGGTCTTATTTTTGTCAAATGCCCCCTGCGAAATAGGCTCCTTCCTTTCTGATGTCTTGATTTTTTGAGTATCGGTAACATCCCTACCAGTTATTTTGGTCTGCGATGGGTATACTAGGTTTCGCACAAGGATTCTGCCGTCATCTAGATTAATTGATTTTCCAATCAGGGGTCTAACGTGGTTCCTTTTCCGGATTGGATTATCAAACTTAATTGTAGGAATTCCACGAGACCGTGTGTTCAAGAAACCTTGGGAGGTCTGTTGTGGATGTAGGGGAAGGTTTGATGAATCGTCTTCCTGAACTAATAGGGAGAAACAATTAGATGTACCTGATGACCGCCGGATGTTTGCCCTGATGCGCTGATGGAGATGTAGAATGGAACGACGGCATTGACTTTTGTGATGGACGGTGGACCATGAATCCGGATCCTCCGTGTCCTGTGACGGCCCTTGGAATCGAGTTGTGAGTTTCGGTGGGTGCCAGTGAAGCCTGTCCGTGTCGTAGTTGGATGGTGTTCGAAATCGGCCTGTGAGCTTCGGCTGATGCCAATTTTTATTGGAGTGTGGGTATTATCGGTGATATAAAAGAGCACCTATGTCATACTCTTCTGTTGCCTTCCAAATCTGAGGGTGTTCGTATTTTGTATAGTATTCCGGAAGCAGTTGTGTCCTCTGACGTGCTCGTATGAATCTCGGACGAAGTTGAACTAAACTCTGAAACCGTGGAGGAGATTGGTCATAGTGCACAAAATGATGGCCAGAATGATGAAAAGGATGATGATAGTTTGGATTCCGGCGTAGAGTATGTTGCTGTCGGCAATCCATTTCCCAGATTAGGTGGATAGAATTTTAGAGAGATGTGAGAGTTTCTCTCTCATCGTATTTGGTTTTCCCAGAATCTTCTTTCAGTTTTGTCAATTCAATATTTCATTCCCATTGTCTTCCTCCTTCATCCATCCGGATCGATTTCAGTTTCGAGGCGGTGGCCCCATATGTCTTTCAGTTAATCTATTTCATTATCTACCTTCATTCATTTTTCTTTATTTTGTGGATTTTAGTTTTTGTCATATACAACTACTTTTGTTTCTATGTTCTGAAGATTGTGATTGGATTGACTGAACTTGCCTTGCTTCAATACTTAAGTAAGTCTATAGTATGAACTTGCCTTTTGCCAATACATACGCAAGTTTAAACCCTATCTGTTACGATTTAGGTTAATAAAACGATAAATTAAAGAGCAAGAACACAAGAATTTTACGTGGTTCACACAATCGGAGTGATTGTGCTAGTCCACAGCGAACGAGAGAGAGCTGTTTTATTATTAGGTCTGCGTCAAGGGGTATTACTACGTACAAGATATGCTTAAATAGGTTTAAGAAAACCTAAACAAAGATTAGAGCCGCAGGCCCAAAAATTAAACCCGTAATTAAAATTAACCCTTAGACCCGGTCGGGTCTCCTATTTGACCCGGTCGGGTAACTCCTCAGCAAGCATGCCCGGGTTGAGACCAGGGCGGGTAACCAAAGCAGAAAGGTAGAAACTCCACTGGCCCGGTCGGGTCCCCTTCTTGACCCGGTCGGGTGTCGCCTCAAAAGGCATACCCGGGTAGACACCAGGTCGGGTATGCTAAACAGAAGCCAAAACCTTCCACGGACCCGGTCGGGTAAACCTCCTTACCCGATCGGGTTTCCCAATCCAGAGAGTTGCCCGACCAAATTCACATCATACCCGGTCGGGTGACTGACCCCACCCGGTTGGGTATCTTCTGCTGCTGCACAAACAAGGCTCCATCTTTAACAATCTCCCATTTGGAGGCTTGTTCAACAATCATCTGCCATCCAAGAACTTGTATCCTCTATAAAACCCCTGATCTCTCTCTTTCTCGTTCACGCCTTCTCATCAAGTATCTGGAAGGCCAGTTGAAGCCATGCAAAGCTTCAACTTCTACGTTGTCACCGCCTTGGTTAGCATGTCTGCTGGATTCTTCGTACCAAGGATCTTCTGCAAATTTATAGTACCATCTTCAATCAACTCTCGGATGAAATGATACCGCATCTTGATGTGTTTCGTTCTGCTGTGAAACACCGGATTCTTTGCGAAATGAATAGCACTCTGGTTGTCACAATATAGAGCGCAATCTCCCTGCTTCATGCCCAACTCAGAAAGAAAGTTCTTCAACCAGATCAACTCCTTGGCCGCTTCAGCAATGGCCATATACTCTGCTTCTGTGGTTGAACGAGCCACACTCTTCTGTAGTCTCGACATCCAACTGATTGTCGTACCTCCAATACTGAATACATACCCCGTTGTGCTCTTCCCGGAATCATAACAACCCCCCAAATCAGCATCAGCAAATCCTTCAAGGATCACACCATTCCTTCTGAAACATAGGGCAGTTTCAGAAGAGCCTTTCAAGTAGCGCAACAACCACTTAACTCCTTCCCAATGCTCCTTTCCTGGATTTGACATGAACCTGCTAACAACTCCCACTGCATGAGCAATGTCTGGCCTTGTTGACACCATCGCGTACATCAAACTGCCAACGCCTGATGCATAAGGAACTTTAGCCATTTCTTCTTTGTCTTCATTGGTCTTTGGAGACTGCTGCTTGGAGAGTTTCAGTTGACTCCCTAACGGTGTACTCCTTGGTTTGGCATCCGTCATTCTGAACTTCTCAAGGACCTTCTGAATGTACTTTTGCTGTGAAAGCTGTAAAGTACCTTCTATCCTGTTTCTGACTATGCTCATCCCAAGAATCTGTCTTGTTTCCCCTAAATCCTTCATCTCGAATTCTTCTGACAACTTCTTCTTAAGTTTGTTGATCTCCTGCATATTTGCTCCAGCCACCAACATGTCATCAACATACAAAAGAAGGATGATGTATGATGACTTGAATTTCTTCAAATAGCAGCAATGGTCCATCTTGCATCTAGTGTATCCATTCCGCTGCATAAAACTGTCAAACTTCAAGTACCACTGTCTAGGAGCTTGCTTTAGCCCGTATAGACTCTTCTTGAGTTTGCACACCAACTTCTCCTTACCACTCACTGAGAACCCTACTGGTTGAGCCATGTAAATGTCTTCTTCAAGGTCGCCATGAAGAAAGGCAGTCTTTATATCCAGCTGCTCCAATTGCAAATTTTCAGCAGCAACAATACCAAGGATCAACCTGATAGTAGTCATCTTCACAACCGGAGAGAAGATTTCATTGTAATCAACCCCTTCTTCTGTTGGAACCCCTTGACAACTAACCTCGCCTTGTATCTTTTGCTCTCATCTGCTTCATCTTTGATTCTGAACACCCACTTGTTCTCCAAAGCTTTCTTTCCCGGTGGTAACTTGACTAAGGACCAAGTTTGGTTCTTATCAAGTGAATCTAACTCATCCTCCATGGCCTTCTTCCACTGTATGGAATCCTTCACGATCAGCGCCTCTGTGTAAGATTCTGGCTCTCCATTCTCGGTCAGCAACAAATAATTTGCTGACGGAGAATATCTGTTAGGAGGTCTTCTATTTCTAGTGGACTGTCTGATTTGGGGAGTAGCTTCCTCCGAGCTCCCACTATCTTCAGAAATTCTTGTATCTCCTGAGCTCCCACTGCTCCCCGAGCCTCCAGTCATGCCATCACAACCAATAGGATGTGCTATGTCATCTTCAGTCATCCCTTCAAACACCACTTGCTGTTTGTTTTCTGGTTGCTTGCCTTTGGTAGTGTCTGCTGCAAGATCATCTTTATACAAGGCATTCTCGTTGAAGGTGACATCTCTACTTCTGATAACCTTCTTGTTGTGGTTTTCCCAGAACCTGTAGCCCATGTCATCCAACCTGTACCCAATAAAGATACATTTCTTTGCCTTTTCCTCGAGCTTGTCACTATCTGCATCTCTAACTTTGACATAAGAAATACAACCAAAAACTTTCAAGTGATTAAGAGATACCTCATGACCTTTCCATTCCTCCTCTGTAATTTTGAACCCTATGGGAGATGAGGGTCCTCTGTTGATCAAGTATGCTGCTGTGTTCACCGCATCAGCCCAGAACATCTTTGGAAGTCCTGCATGTAATCTCATCCTCCTAGCCCTCTCATTCAGTGTTCTGTTCATCCTTTCTGCAACACCATTTTGCTGTGGTGTTTCTGGAACCGTCTTCAGCATTCTTATCCCCTGTTCAGCACAATACTCTACAAACTCTGTGCTACTGTACTCACCCCCATTGTCGCTCTTTAAACACTTGATTTTAAGATTAGTTTCGTTCTCAACCGCAGCTTTGAACTTCTTAAAAGTGTTAAAGACTTCAGATTTATTTTTAAGAAAATAAACCCATACCTTCCTTGTAGAGTCATCAATGAATGTAACATAGTAGCGGGAACCTCCAATTGAAGAGACCTTTGTAGGTCCGTAGACATCTGAATGAATCAACTCCAGCCGCTCAGTCTTGGGTTGTTGCCCTGTCTTCACAAAGGTTACCCTCTTTTGTTTGCCAAGGACACATGGCTCACAAAAGCTCAACTTTGAGTTCTTCAAATCTGGGATTTTACCCTTTGAAGACAGCATCTTCATTCCATTCTCACTTATGTGCCCAAGTCTTTGGTGCCACAAAGTAGAGACCCCTGCATCTTCAACTGCTGCATTTGCTCCATCTGTAGACACTTCTACCATGTACAGCGTACCATGCTTCTGTCCACGAGCAATGACCAACTTTCCCTTTGTCACCTTCCATTGCTTGTTGCCAAAACTAACGTTATGGCCTTCCTCATCAAGCTGTTCCACTGAGATCAACATCTTCTTCAGATCTGGAATATACCTGACATTTTTCAACCTCCAGGTTGTACCCAAAGTGGTATTGAGATTAACATCTCCAATACCCGTGATCTCCAGGGATTTGTCATCCGCCAAACGAACTCTTCCGCTGTAGGGCCTGAAATTTTGCATCAAATCCCTGCAATGACAAGCATGAAACGACGTACCTGAATCCATGATCCAGGACTCAATTGAATTCTCAACACTGCAAATTAGGACATCTTCATAATCCTCTGCCACGTTCACCTCCTTCTTGCCTTTGTCTGCAGAGGCTTTGGGGCACTGATTTCTGAAGTGTCCATTCTCCTTGCAATTCCAACAATTGATGTCCTTCTTGTTCTTGGATTGACCTCTCTTCCTCGACTTTGATCTTCCTTTCTTGTTACCTCCTTTAGTGGATTTTCTGCCCCTATCTTCAGTACTCAACAAACTGTTGGAGCTATCCCCCGAACTCCTCCTTCGGATATCCTCACCAAGGATCAAGTCACGAATACCCTCAAAGGTAAGTTTAGTGGTTCCAGCCGAACTACTAACTGATGTGACTGTACCGGACCAACTATCGAGAAAAGATGATAACAAAAGTAATGCTTGAACTTCATCATCAAATTTAATCTCAACCGAACCTAACCTGGATATGATTGAGTTAAACTCGTTGACGTGATCTGTTACGGTTGCACCTTCCTTCATTCTCGTGTTCACCAACTGTCTAATTAAGAAAACCTTGTTGGCCGCTGAGGGTTTCTCGTACATGTTGGATAACGCCTTGAGTAGTCCAAACGTTGTTTTCTCGTTGACGATGTTGTAAGCAACGTTTTTCGCCAACGACAACCTCACCACACCAAGAGCATGTCGATCCAGCAAGTTCCACTCCGCCTCCGCCATTGATTCTGGTTTGTTCTCAGACAAGGGTAGATGAAGCTTCTTCTGGTAGAGATAATCCTCGATTTGCATCTTCCAGAAAGCAAAATCTTGACCATCAAATTTATCGATCTTAACCTTCCCTTCGTCAGCCATAGCTCTGATACCACCTGTTACGATTTAGGTTAATAAAACGATAAATTAAAGAGCAAGAACACAAGAATTTTACGTGGTTCACACAATCGGGGTGATTGTGCTAGTCCACGGTGAACGAGAGAGAGCTGTTTTATTATTAGGTCTGCGTCAAGGGGTATTACAACGTACAAGATATGCTTAAATAGGTTTAAGAAAGCCTAAACAAAGATTAGAGCCGCAGGCCCAAAAATTAAACCCGTAATTAAAATTAACCCTTAGACCCGGTCGAGTCTCCTATTTGACCCGGTCGGGTAACTCCTCAGCAAGCATGCCCGGGTTGAGACCAGGGCGGGTAACCAAAGCAGAAAGGTAGAAACTCCACTGGCCCGGTCGGGTCCCCTTCTTGACCCGGTCGGGTGTCGCCTCAAAAGGCATACCCGGGTAGACACCAGGTCGGGTATGCTAAACAGAAGCCAAAACCTTCCACGGACCCGGTCGGGTAAACCTCCTTACCCGATCGGGTTTCCCAATCCAGAGAGTTGCCCGGCCAAATTCACATCATACCCGGTCGGGTGACTGACCCCACCCGGTCGGGTATCTTCTGCTGCTGCACAAACAAGGCTCCATCTTCAACACTATCATTAGTAAATACTTCTATTTTAAGGACACTGACTTTATCACAGCCCTTTTTGTACTACCAATTGTGATTCTTTTATTTTTGCATATGTCATTTGTGATAAAAATACTTAGGTGATCTTTCTTTTGATAGGTTAAAGTATTTGAAATAAAGAAAATTAATTGAAGGCTAGATTATATCACACCAGCATCTTCACATCCCTATATTCACACAATTTTTTTAACCACTTGAATGATGATAAGCTAGGAAAGTTGACTGTTAAAAAAGGTATGAAACTTATTGCATTGTGATGTTTTGTTGGTATTCATATTTAGGTCCCTGAATGATAAAGTGTTTGAGGACAAGATTCTCATCTTACATACAACTAAAAGCAAACCTAAGGATATAAAAATAATTTTTGATATGGCTATACATCCAAGAAACTCCAGTGCAATCCCGATGTAAGATAATTTATTATTATAAGGTATGTGTCCACATTAGGTAGTAATTGTGAATCCTTGACCATCTAACTGGATGAATTTTGTTTTATTTTGTTAGTATATATCCACTTGCCTAATCACTTAATCGGTTTTTTTATTAGAGTATAAGATGTTACCTGGAAGAAATTACATAAAAAAAACTTTTACATAAGTCTTTTGGGTTGATTATTGTTCCTTCGAAGTTCGAATAGTGCTAAATCCCGTAGGGTATGTTTGGAAGTTTGAAGGGAAGGGAAGTGGAAGGTTTTGAAGGTGTGTCATTGGAAGGGAAGTGGAGGGAAAGGGGAGGAAACCCTCCTTTTCTTGTCTCGAAGTAATAAATTTGAAAATATAGAGGTTATGGATGAGTTATAATTAGAATCACTTCACATACATGATAAATTCAAAACATTGAATTTATATTTATTTAAAATTGAACAAATGTTGTCATTAAAATTAGTTATTCTTGGAGCCATCCAAAACCACCCTTCCATATTTTTAAACTCCCAAACATCAATGGGAAAGTCATAAACCCTTGTTAACCTTCCCCTCCCCTCCAAAACCTAACTCCCAAACATACCCTTATGCTACCATCATCAAGCATTGCCTTTTATTTTGTGGAGTTTTTATTTTCTCATCTATCTTTAGGTATTTTCTTCACTCAGGCACATTGATCAAGAAGGAAAAGGAAGTTTGTTGAATTGAACCAGGTCATAAGTAAATCATTCATTGATTCAATTTGTTATTAACTTGATCAAACTTCTATCTAGTTTACGTCATTGAGGAAGATTTTATTTTCACTGCTGCCCATAATCATTTCTGCACTCCAGGGAAGTGCATGTTGCAACTATCTACTGTTACTATTAATACCTCCAGAAAAGTAACTATAAATATGCAATTGCTCCGGGGATGGTCTCAAACCATAATTCCAAGCATTTAAGGCTATAAATCAAAGCTTTCCTGGAGAGCTTTAAAAGCAATACCAGATTTTCATCCACAATACACAAAGGTGTTGCTCTTATAATATCACGGAAGTAAAGAAACTTAAATTATTTACTCAATGTTAAGAATTTAAGTGATGTCGTCAGACCACAAGGTACTTGGCACGTCTCACTTACCTTTAATAAAATACTCCTTAAATGATTTGCTGAGTTGGCTATGAGATAGCCTTGCTGAAAGTAGAAAGGGAGGTAGACAACCGTTCCGTTTTTCTATTCCAACTCAGCACCAAGCGTTTATTTGTCATGAAATGAAATTTAAGCATGAACAATTGTATATTTGTATGATACAGTTTCAAGAGTGAGAAATGTGTATGACTTAAAATTCATGATATGCGAAGAGCCGAAGATTAAGTTAATACAAAGTGGTTATAAAAAACGTCATCCACAATGATGTCTTCAATAATCTTTAAAGTGCACTTATTAAAACTCTAATATTATTTATAATTATTTATAATTTCTTTCATTCATATGATAAATAATAATATAATTTTTAAACGCATTTATAATATTTGCATATTACATCCCGTGCCACGCACATGTGAAATATTAGTAAATACTCCGTATGATTTATAATCATGGTGATAAATTGTCTTGGCTTATAAAATCATACCACTGTTCCTTATAATTTTGTCAAAATTGACTATTACATTGAATAATAAAGTTAGTAGTGTATGGTTGAGGTTTTTGTGGATGAGAGACAATTAAAAGAATCACGTTCTTTATTTAAAAGGAAAATGACAAAGTTAGTGTGACAATTTAAAAAATGAAAGTTGACAAAATTATAAAGGAAGAAGGAAGTATATTTTAGAAAACATTCATTAGATTTAACAATATATGAAGTCAAATATGACTTCATGGTAAATAACTGATTCTTAAAAATGGAAAGTTGATTAGTGATTTTGATCTAACCTCATGGACTCATGGTAATTAGGGGTGTGCATTGATTCAAAACCAGACCGAACCAGATATACTACGGCTTTTAACTGGAGCCGAACCGGTTTAAAAGGTTCAAAACCGGAACGGAATCGGAAAAACCGGTTTCTAAATTATTTATATACTGTTTAGAAAAAATGAATATTTTTATAAATATGCAGGATTTGATATTAATAATGTGAATATTTTTACTAATTTTATGTACTTACTTATTGTTATTAATTTTAAAAAGTAAATATTGGAGTGATTTGAGTGTAGAAATAATAAATGTTAGTTATTTCTATTATCAACAAGACAATAAGAACAAACGGAAGAATATAACATTAAAATAATATATATTATAATCATTTTATTTAGATTGTTATTATTAATGTTTTTATTATTTTTAGCTATCTATATTAAAGAATTAATTAATATATGTCAAAATATAATAAACCTGGTTTAATCAGGTTCAAACCAGGAAATCAAACCGGAAACAGGATTTGTAATTTTTAATAACCGAAAATCGGACCAGATAGGACTCCGGTTAGGTCCGGTTCCGGTGTTTCCAATCTGGTCCGGCTATTTAGTTTGAACTGGTTTGTGCACACCTCCCGCAGTAATTATCTTTAATTTCTACTCCCTTCGGTCCTTAATTAATTTTACACTTTCCTTTTTGGGCCTTCTCATATTAAACTTTACACTTTCTTATTTACCTTATTTGACAAACAAATCTACACAAATAGTGCTAAACAGTGTCAAACAATGTACTCTACAATAAAGTCACTGTGAAGCTAAAGCGTAAGCTTCGTTAAGTATAGCCATCGGAGGGAGTATAATAAAAAGCACTTCCATAATTATATCCTTTCCAAAAGAAATGGATGATTTGTAAATTGTAAGTCTAATTTCATTTCACATAATGTTCTCATCCTCTCACTAAAAAAGAGAGAACCACAACCCCACATATCCCTCCCTCCATCCTACAACCAGACCTTCTCCTCCCACCCCAAGTTTGACCGGAGAAGCCGAGTCAAGGAGGGGAAAGAGACCAGAGAGAGCCATTCATTTTTCATCTCCGATCCTTTTGTGTTGTGGAAAGAAAGATCGATCGAAAAAGATGGGAAGCGGCGTAGAATATGATCATCAGATAAAAGAGCTGAAGGACATATTCATGCGGTTCGACCTGGACAGAGACGGCAGCCTGACGCAGCTGGAGCTCGCCGCCCTCCTCCGCTCCATCGGCCTCAAGTCATCCAACGGCGACCAAATCCACGCCCTCTCCGCCCACATTGACGCCGACGGCAACGGCTCCATCGAGTTCGACGAGCTCGTCCGTGCCATTCTGCCGGACCTCAACAAACAGGTCCTCATCAACCAGGTATTTTTATATATATGCATCCTTTCTTTTTTCTAGGTTATCCTCAAAGGTAATTAAAAGCCCGATTTTAATTGATTGAATACACAGAACCCGCTAAAATTGATGAAATTATTACTTTGGTTAATGCGGGAAACTCGAAAAATGAATCTTACTAAATGTCGTTTTAGGCATATATATATATTCTTCGACCATTCTTGATGTACACACCTTATACACATCATGTTTGTGAAGCTTTTTTTTGTCTGTGAATCCGGTTCACAAACAATATTTTGTTTGTGCAAAACATTATCTTTGAATCGATGTTCACAGACAAAAAAAAAAACTTTCACAGACATAAGTGTGTACAAAAGTGTGTATAAGAGTGTGTATAAACATCATTTTTGTTTTTGTATATTCTTTGATTCTGAATTGGATCGGGTAGAGCCGCCCGCCAAGAATGATGATACACACAACATTATAAACTTTGTGAAAATAGCAAGACATGTATGTGAAATAGGGGTGGACTCGGGCCGGGCCAATCGGCCCGGAACCGGACCGGCCCGCTACTGTGCAGGCCCGGCCCGGACCGGTGAACCGGTTCCGGGCCCGGTTCGGGCCAATCGGCCCGGTGGGATGGCGGTTCGGGCTCGGGCCCTTCAAACGGTGAACCGGCCCGGCCGGTTCAGGCCCGGGCCGGGCCAATTTTTTTTTTGTTTTTTGAATTTTTTTTATGTTTTTGGGTTGGGCTGGACATTGTGGGCCATTTGAGGTGGTTAGGGTTGGTTTGGAGGTGTGGGGGAGGGTTGGGGGTTAACTAGGAAAAGACAAAAAAATAAAAATAGAACCGAGGTCCGGCCCGGTCCGGCCCGGACCCGGGGGTTACCCGGCCCGGCCCGGACCCGGGGGTTACCCGGGCCGGTTCCGGGCCTCCCCTTCTTGAACCGAGGCCCGAACCGGGCCCGAACCGGAACCGGTCCACCCCTAAAAGCAAAGTGTACAAATTTAAAAGCAAGATATATCTTCACTTTAAAAAAAAATCAAGGTCTCTCATAGAAAATTAGTACTTTTATCTAATAAAGTATCGGTTCTTGTACATGCATATAGTTCCACACTTTACGTCACTTTCTCTCACACAGAAAGATCGTAGAATAAACTAGAAATTAAGTCATAAAAATGTCTCTTGGACTACTAAGAGTATAAAATCATATGTAGTATTATATATGATAATCATATAATAATATTAATAATAATAGTAATAAATATTGTGCTTTTCCTACCAAGCCCAATACACACTTTATCGGTATGTATTTACGGCCAAAATGGGCATTAGTTTTAGGGTATCTTACTATCTTGATCAGTATCACTTATATAGTATTTATGAATTAATGTGTATATTTTTATTGAATAATCACAAATTCACAACTAATAACTTTATGTATTATTATGTATATACTCCCTCCGGTCCTTATTAAACTTTACACTTTGACTTCACACATATTAAGAAAATAAATTTGACTTTACTGTAGAGTACACTATTTGGCACTGTTTGACACCGTTTGGCACTGTTTTGCACTGTTTGGTGTAGAATTGTTTGCCAAATAAAGAAGTGTAAAGTTTAATATGGGATGATCTAAAAAGGAAAGTGTAAAGTTAATTAAGGACCGGAGGGAGTATAGTATTAATGTATATATTAGTATTTATATAGTATTTATGTATTAATGTGTATATTAGTTTCTATTGTATTTAAAGTGTTATAACTAATCAATTTATGTATTAGTGTATGTGTATTCAAATAAGAAATTTTAAATGGGTTCGGATCCTTAACGGGTCGGAATTATATGTACCATACCCGATCCGTTTATTTAAAATGCTAACGGGTCCGGATCCGAGTCCGGGTAAACGGTAGCCACACAAAACTTTTCAAAAAGGGAAATTAAGAGAATTTTTTGGGACGTCCCAAAAAAGAAAGTGGGAAAACTTTTCAGGGATAGAGGGAGTAATGGGGTGTGCATATTAACCATTCTGAAAATGGAGTGTAAATTCTAATATCGCCTAAAGAATGGTGTGTGAATTCAAAAAATGTCCCTAATTTTGTTTGTGTGAATATGTTATATTTCTAGTTCTATTTAAAAAAATGTGAATATACCATGTTGAGTAATAAGCTCATTATGTGACTAATGTTCTCAGTAAAAAGCACATTATTTGACTAATACTCTTTGACTTCACACATATTAAAGAAATAAATTTGACTTTACTGTACAGTACACAGTTTGACACTGTTTGACACTGCTTGACCCTGTTTGGCATTGTTTAACACTGTTTGGTGTAGATTTGTTTGTCAAATAAGGCACATAAGAAAGTGTAAAGTTTAATATGAGACAGTTCAAAAAGGAAAGTGTAAAGTTAATTAAGGACCGGAGGGAGTAATGTTCTAAGTTCTTAGTAATACAACATTGTTCTTATAAGTTTCGGATCCTATTTCTTAAATATGCAAGTATATTTGGAATATTTAACTCTAGAATTCAGTTCAATAATTGACTCAGCATGATTTCAGAAAAGAAATGAGAATGATTTTGGAGCGTTAGATTTGGGCATATTGCATTATGTAAAATAGAAATGTACATCATCAAAAATTGAAGAATGTGCATTTCAACTCTGCATAAGTTTAATCATAAACGTGCACATTTGAACTTTGCATTACTTAAACTATAAATGTGCATCTTTATAAATCATGATATGCATCAATTTAAAGTGTGCTCATTTCTCACATTAAAGAGTGTTTTCATCGAAAGTGTACGCATTGGTTGATTATATAAACTTATCCTATATAATAATGTTATATTTAGAGTGTGCTCATTTCTCACGTTAAAGAGTGTTTTAATCAAAAGTGTACACATTGGTTGATTATATAAACTTATCCTATATAATAATATAATGTTATTTAGTGCGTGGAAAGTTGAAGCAATTCAACAATTTTTTAGAAAACACGCTTTAACCGGTGGACGTAGTTCAACTGATAGCAAGGGAGTGCCACAAGGGTTAGGTCCCGGGTTCGAATCTCGTCAACTGCGATGAGGGGTTACTATGCTAAAAATGCATAGGGCCTCTGCAAGTACCAGGGACAGAGCCTCACTCTCTATCTGTCAGATTAGGATTATAGTCCAATCTGGTCCTTTTTTTTATAGAAAACACTCTTTAGGAATGTCTGTAATTTCTTTCAAAAAGTACATTATTCTGATTATTTCTTAAAAAGACAAAAATAATTAAACAATGTGTCCAATATGTGTTTCTATTTAAATTTAATCATTTCAAGTTAAAATTTGTAAGCAGGAACAGCTCATGGAAGTTTTCCAGTCCTTCGACAAGGACGGCAGCGGCTACATCACCGCCGCCGAGCTGGCCGGGCAGATGGCGAAAATGGGGCAACCACTAACGTACCGTGAGTTGACGGAGATGATGCGTGAGGCGGACATGAACGGCGACGGCGTGATCAGCTTCAATGAGTTTGCCAACATTTTAGGCAAATCGGCGTCCGATTTCCTCGGCCTCGCTGTCTCTTAGCCCGGCCGTTACATATATACTGTCTGTCGTTTTATGTTAAGTCTGACGTCAGCGACGACCATGGGTGTTTTTGAGCATACGACAAACCAGATGCATGCATGATCGACGACAATTATTATTTTCTGTTTAAATGTTTCACATTTTATTCATGTACACAAACATATGTATATAAAAGCATCTCTAATCGGTGTTAACTGTTCACATCAAAAGAATTGCTATGCCATCCGTATATAACATTGGTGTACGAATTTTCATTTCCAATGGAGGATGTTCACCCTCATGTATTGCTGACATGTTAAAAATTAATTTAGACATTCTCTGAATCACTGTGATTAGATAACATCATCCTTCATAGTGTGACTCAGCAAACGTGGGGGAGATAGTGCCAAAATTATAGAAAATCCAAGGAACTTCTCCCACTGATAACATATTTGTCAGCCAAAAATGTATTTATCTCACCTTCTCCCTCCAGAGTAAACTTTCGGAAGTCCCCTTTGGAGTAAAACCACATAGATAAACAATGATTAACAAAGGTGATCGATTTCTCTAGTGGCCGGATGCAGTCTAGTGGGTCACGGTTGTTGAACTTTCCGTAGAAAATTGCAGCGGCTTTGACAAAAAATTGTCTGAATTTTACAATCCGCTTTATCCAAGAATCCAACCAAAAACTACGAAATTTTGTTTAAAAGAAGTGAATTGATTGTTATCTCAAAAGTAGTAGGCGGATCGTGGAAGCATTTAGTATGAGGTGCTATTTTAATTTTAAAAATGGCTCGCACATATATTTGTTACATGAGCGATTGACATTAAACATTTATTGAGTGTCATGTGTCAAAATTTATTCCATGTTAACAGTGTAGCATTAAAGATGCTTTAAATACAAATGACATTCATTCCTAAAAAATGACATTCATATGTACTTCGATCTTTATCCGTGCTGTAGTGATTTTAATTTTAAAAGATGTACACAATATTGGGGTGAATATGAGATTTCAATAAATTGCATTTGTACAAGTGATCTATCTAGTTTTATCCAAAGAAATTACCTTGGATATGAGTAAAATAAAAGTGCTTTCCATAATGCAAATACTATGTTTGTAGTGTAATACTTATAATTAGCTTAAAGAATTAATAGGATTATTCACACCAACACGGTGCATCTATTTTTAAGGGAACTCATACGCTAAAAACTTCAAGTTAAGCAGGATCAGTCTTGGGATGAGCTCAGAGCGCGCACAGTGAGGACCAAGTGCGCGATGAAAGGCATGTGTTGATTTGTGTAGACAACATTAGAGTATTTGCGTGTGGATCAGTTTCAACTCATATTGATCATACCAGATTTAAACAATTGAAATCAAATCACGATGAATAATTGAAATTACACTTGGACCCATAATTAATAAAAGTGTACAATAATATTGGACTTATACCAGACCTCACATGAGGACTGAGGAGGAATCTTAAACGTCAGACCGCAACGAACCTATATATACAATGATAAAATATACATCACACTAGAGCTTTACTTGATTAGAACATATTGTAGCACCACAATAGCAGTTGGTAATATCAACATAACAATGTGATCTTATTATGAAAGCATCGTTTCAACATGATAATACTTTTCTCCTGTTTAATACTTCTATTTCAATTTGATCTTATATAATACTTCTGTTTATTATACACACACAAAACCAATAAGTTATAAGCTCTTGGGCTTTCACGAGTGTTTTGGTTATGCAAATCTTTTTGCGAGATCCAAGTTGGAAGCTCTTGGGCTTTCACGAGATATGAGGGATCTCGTAAAATTCGTTTATCTTTTGAGAAAAATCAACACAGAGGATTTTTTCATATGGTGGATTTGAGAATTCAGGGAACAACGACTATCATTATTTCGGAAGGTCATAGAGAAGAAGGAGCTAAACATGTTTGTTTTGCTTTATTGGAACAACATGAATTGTTGAAACATATGGGTTTGAAGGAAACTTTTGTTAGGAAATTGATGTAACGTACCTCGAAAGTACAGCAGCGGAAGTTTAAAATTTTCTCAAACAGATCTTCTCTGATTATGACAAAATAACGAATATGATAATAATAACAGATCTGAGTTAGAACTTACAGATCTTCCAGCCTAACGGTGATAATCCTTGACCTTAGGTATCCACGTGACTTCTCCTCTCCGAAAGAACGGTTAGATCTCCCTTAAAGAAAGACTAGGAAATCTCTTCGCAGGAAAGTAAATAGGTAATACTGAATCTAGAAAACAGGTCTATCAATTCTGAAGAAGGAGAGTGTATTTATAGTAGTTCTAAACTAGTTTCCCAATCACAATGAAAGTCTTTTTCATTAATGAGTTCTAGTTCTACCAGAACCAATACTTATCATTAATTAAATAAACAGATAAAAAACAAAACAAAATAATAACAAGGGAGGAAGAGGGCCACGCCACTCTCTCCATCCCCATTATCATTTATTTTCCCTTTTCCCTTTTAATTCCAAATTAAAAGAAATATATCAATTTATTTAATAATAAATAAATACATTTTAATTAATTAAGTACAATAAATCTAATTTATTTCACTTAATTAATTCTATCAAATATAACTCTCCTTCAACATAATGAATTAAATATATTAATCTAATTAATATTTAATCCATTTTCAGTATTACGAATTAAATATTATTTAATCCAATTAATAATATTTAATTCCTTCTAACAATTAAATCGGAAGGTATAATCACTTATTGTGTGACCCATAGGGCCTTATATATTAAGCACTAATCAAATTAAGGTCTTGGCAGAATCCCTAGACGATTTACCTGACAAACTTAATATATAAGGACGTTTGCGAGGACTATTCAAACCCCCTGTAATATAGAGCTCATAGTGATACGATCCTTTCATTCAACGAACATTCAACTAAGTCTAGAACATGATACTGTGTCTATTCTAATAACTTAGTCTCTCTCTCTCAATCTTTCTAGATGATCCATAACGATCATATTCGATATCTAAAACGAATATATCTTTGCATTGGTCAATGACTTTATGATCCATCTAGATATGAGAAGTAGAATGTTCTCTCTTAATCTATTATGAGGAATGAATCCTTTCTTGGCTCAACTACTACTCCATGTGCTTCGTGATGCACCCAACACATGCCGTATCTACCCCGATTGGAGTGAAAGCGTTGGTCATGGTCAAAGTACATCACTCCGCACATGTAGTACGTATTGACCTCAAGTCGGAGGACTATTACACTACTCTATACGCCGATGATCCCATAGACACATGAATAGAACTTATCAAATGGTTTCTCGGTGGGTATGCCAATATTCTCTAAAATATCTATGTGACCATCATGAATTACATGTACTCATAGTTGTGAGATCAACTATACTTTCTAAAAGTATGATGCAGTCCACATACCAATCTTATCCCATATCATCAATATCTCATTCTTGATGATCATTGATTGAGGCTATTTTAGGATTTTATGTTATATCATATAAGCTCCCACTTACTTATTGACAACATAAGTCCAATGGAACACAATTATGAATAAGATATTAATAATCGAAATACTTAATCATCAATGTGTAATACCGTATATATCAAATATATAAAACTGAATGTGATCAAGTACATATATTTATAAAAAGTGATTGTCGCTAGGACATATATACTAACAGCTTTGATGGAAAATTCCAGTAAGGTTTAAGATGATCCTGGACTTGTTTGTTTAGAATTGGCAGATTCATGTTTTGAGAATCAAGGGCCCATTTCTTCAAAACTTTTTAACAATGATCTACAAAATTGTGTATTTCAAACTCCGCTTGGTTAAAAAAACTAATTGAGCCTGCTCAAGAGAACACAACTATTGTAGCAAGGGGTTTGACCATATTGATGGGGATGTCCATGAGATTTCACCACTCAAGGCTTCATTGCTTACGTTGCAGTATAATGATAACATCACTTTGGAGCTTAATGAAGACGAACACAGTTCATTGCAATCTGACGCATCAAATGAATCAAACGAATCGGGTGAAGAATATGTTACTGCACCCCTTAGAACATCTCCCTTAGATCAGAAGCTTTTGGATAGGTTACTCGGAGATCAAAACTCTTCATATCAGTGGCGGAACCAGAGGTTTGTCCAAGGAGGGGCAAACCAAAGACTAAAAATTTTAAAGTTCGTGTCCAAAATATAATAAGAACAACAATAGCGTAATAATTTAACAAAAAATTATAGTTCATTACATACTACTTGATTTACTTCTGCAACCTAGGCAAATCAATCCTACGAGTTTTCATATTTTGAAAATGCTGCATAATAGCTTCATTATCAATTGCTTGAAAAATGTCTCTTTCGATGTAGTATACTAAGCAATCCGTAAGATAGTCATCTCCCATCTTATTGCGAAGATCTGTCTTGATAATATTCATCGATGAGAAAGCTCTTTCAACTGTGGCTGTTGCAACTGGTAACGCTAGAGCCAACTCAATAAGACGATAGACCAAGTGAAAAGATTTGTGAATTGTAAGCTCAACCATCTTCTTAGACACTTCACCAATACTTTGTAAAGTGGAAAATGCTTCATTTCCTCTCATCTCATATATCCAAACTTGGAGTTGTTCTTTAAGCTCCATTTGCTCAACAGCTGAAAAATCAGATGAATATAACTCCGCAAGACTGAGTAGCTTTGACTCACAGAAATTGGAAAAATTATCTTTAGCATCAAGGCAAGCTAAACAAGCGAGTAAATCTGTATTTGACTCACTAAAGCGATTCTCCATTTCCAGATTGACCTGGTCTATAACCTACAATAAGGTAATAATAAAAAGTAGTAGTAATAGTAATAATAATAATGATAATACAAATTTATCCAAACTCATACTCCTAAATATAACAAAAATAAGTATGAATTAAAAATGTTCCTTATACAAATAGCATTAAATTGCATCTAGAACTGAGATTTGAGGATTCACACAAATAATTTCTGACTTTTCGTTAGGGATGAGAGCAAATAATTAATATGAGCATAAATTGGAAGATGAGAAACTTACTTGAAAATTGCAGAATCTGAGAACAAATGGGGAGAAGTGAAAACTAGGGCTGGATATAACCCGAAACCAAACCGATCTAAGTTGGGACCCAATTTTTCGGACACTGAATTTTCAGTCCGGTTATTCGGTTTTTTCACAAAAACCGAATGGGTATTCAATATTTGTTTATATTGTAGCTAATACTTGCACTCAAGCTTTACTAGCAACTTAATCTTTATCAACTATGAAGGAGCGATTATATAGGCTCAAATGAGGAGTGAATCCTCTAT